ACCTGGGGTATCCCAGGCATGGCTCTAGGTATTTTACACGTAATAACTCAACTTTGCAGAACCCCTGCGGGGAAGATGCCATTAGTGTCCTCATTTTACAGATGAGGAAGGTAAAGTGACTTCCCCAGAGTGACAGAGCTAGTAGGAGGCAGAGATGGGATGTCACCCAAGCAGTGTGGCCACGGAGCTGACACTCGGCCTCCCACAGTCCACTGAGGACTCGTCCTCCTCCCCGGGGAGACCTGTCCTGCACCCGCCAGCAGAAAGGAGGTTTGCCACCAGGCCGCAGGGCCCAGGGCTGGGCCAGGACCCCGGTGAGGGGCGAGAGGGGCAGCTGCAGGGGGGTGTCCCTTGGCCTCCCCTCCCCTCACTCAGCGCAGCCCTGGGAAGACTTCTCTTCCCATCCCACCCGGCCTGGCGCCCACGCGAGGAAACCTTTTTCTTGGCTTTCCCAGTTGGCAACCAGGCAAACCAATATGGAGAACCCAGGCCAGGAATAACCCTAAATCACACGGCGTGGAAGAAACGGGTCTGTCCCCCAACTGTACCTGGGGCCTGACCTCTTCCAGCCCCTGGCTCTTCCCTGCTTCCAGTTTATGACTCTCTGCAGTGACTTCCAGCCCCGGGGGCCACTCCTGACATTTCTCAGCCCTCACACCCCTGGTCTCATGTGGACTGTGCCCTCCATGTCTGTCTCCCTGGTGGTCTGTGAGCAGGGAGAGGGTGTAACTCAACGGACCAGGACACACACACTCAGTGCTTATTGCGCGTGTGACGAATGCCTGTGGCATAGGCTCTTCCTGTTTCCAGGTAATTTTCTGTCTCACATGCTCTGAAGTCACACAGGCCAAAGATAGGAAGTAGGCCTGCTTTGATACCGGCAGACACAACATCCTGTTTGTGATTCTCTTTTTCCGATGAGAGTTGGAACAAACATTCTAGAAGGGTCCTCAGCGGAGGGGTCGTGACTCAGGTGGTTGAGCAGGGCCCTCGGGAGCCAGAATTCACTGTGGGTAAACTATGTGTCATGATTTTGGTTCACTGATCAGCTCTGAAGGTTCATAAGAACCACCTGAGAAAGCCTAGCCTGCCCCTCTCCCGAGATGCTGCCCAGCCTGGGAGAAGCAGAAGGCTCTGGGCAGAGGACAGAGCTGGGCCTTGGCGACAGACAGCCTCCCAGGCTCCCGGTGACATGGCTCTGAACCTGGCACAGGTGTTTCTGCAGCTCTAGGGACAAAGGGGGCAGCTGGCTCCCCTCCAGCCAGGGGAAGGGTGGTCTCAACATCCACACTGGTGGTTCCCCAAATGCAAGGGCTTCACAACAGCCCTGGGAAGCCAGCTGGCTGGGTGCTACCATCCCCATTTAACTAATGAGAAAGCCAGCACTTGCAGGTGCTCTACTGCCTTTCATGCTCTACCCACCCCACCCCACCCCCTACAAAGGGGAAAGGCCGGACTAAAAGTGCAGCCTGCAGGCCACAGGCCAGGCGGGCCCATCGGGGATGCGGGGATGCGGGAGTCAGGGTCTCGGCGCGTCCTGGCCCTCCCCCCAGCACCTGGACCGGAGCCCTGGGACAGGGCAGCCGCGTGCCCTTTGCAGCCACAGGCTTCTAAGGCCCAAAGAGCCACGGGCCACTTTTGTGGAAAAGAGAGAGAGAGAGAGAGAGATGGAGGGAAGGAGGGAGAGAAGGAAGAAGGGAGGAAGGAAAGGGGAGAGAGAAGGAGACGAAGGGGGCAAGAAATAGAGAGAAGAGGGGGGAAGGGGAGGGAGAGGCAGAGGGAAGGGGTTAAAGGGGAAAGGAGGAGAAACAAGCCCTTTGTGACAGAACTCAGCTTAAGATGTCAAGGGGAAACAGGCTGTCAAATAATTTCAAGGAAATGACATTTCGACAACCAGCCAATGAGGCTTTCCTCCCACTTCCTGCCATCCATCTCCATTTTCCCGCTCTTCACTCCCTCTCTCCTCCCACCCGTGCGGCTCATTCCTCCCACCCGTGCGGCTCATTCCTCCCACCGGCAGGGCCCTCCGGAACTCCCTTCTGTCCTCCCCTCCCCGCCCCCGCCCCCGCCCCGGCCCCCGCCCCTGGGTCAGCTGAGCGCTGCCTTCTGGATGATGCTACATGAGGAATTCGCTGAAACCCCCAATCTCAGATTGTTCCAAATTCCTCCGTGCCTCCCCCAGGACCCAGCTCCGGACATGACTCCACTGGGAGTCAGCCCGGAGAACGGCGGCGACTCTGACTGCCGAGAGCCAGACTCGGTTCACTCCAGGCCCGACCCCGGACTGTGCCAAGTCATGCGTAACCCCGGAGCGGGGAGCCTCACCTGCCTGGGCCTCCATCCACTCATCAGAGGCGATGTGGGGCGGAAAAGCCCCCCCACAGGGCAGTTCCAACACCCCCTGCTCACGACGGGCACATGCAGGTGTGCTCAAGTACAAACAGCTGAGGAGCCGTGTGCAGACGACACCATCCCACTGGCTTGGCCCTGAGATCAGCCGGGGTCTGCTGGCCCGAAGTCTCCCAGGTTGCCAGCCAGGGGCAGGACTGAGGAGCGTCTGCTCAGCACAGAGGGCACTGCCCAGGGGGGCTCCGGGAGGCGCGCGCTTATCATTGCTATTGTATAAATGAAGAAAAGAGGGGCTCAGAAAGACGAAGGACTTTTTCTAAAGTTGCACAGCCAGCGAGTGGCAGAACTGGGACTAAAATCTGGCATCGGGACTCCCACATCCACGGCACCATGTTGTGTCACTGCTTAAGGCCCATGTGAGTAGACAGATAAGAAGAAGAATAAAAACACTTGCTACCTTTAGGTGCTGTGCCAAACGCTTCTCGGGTATCAACCCATTCATTTCTGAACACTTTGGTGAGAAAGGTCAATTAACTTCTCCATTTCATAGATGAAAAAGATACTGAGAAACGCTTGCCCAATGTCACGCAACAAATGACAGAGGTGTCAAGGTCAAACAGCTTGTGGAGCCAGGGTGGGGTCAGGGTTCAAACCCTCTGATAAATCGTCCTGCATTGATCGATTCATTCTCCACACTATTCTAACACGTATTTCAGGTGGTACTGACACATACAGTTCATGTGGTGGTTTGAACCTGGGTATGTAAGGAGTTTCCGTTGAGGTGGAACGGGGACCTGCGCCTTGTCCTCACAGGGAGATGGCTGTCTTCCAGAGGCCGCACTGTCTGTCCCTTACTGAGTCAGGGGCAGGGCTGTGTCGGTGAAGGAGGAAGCAGGTAAAATTGGACTCCTTTCCACAGCTGAAGACGTTTCTTTCCTCACGCAATGGTACTTCCTGTAGCCATTTATCAGTCCGAAGAACTGAGGTGTCGCATGTTATCTTAAATTGTATTGTACAGGGGCCCTCTGACAGGCACCTAGGGGAAGTGAAGCCTCAGCCTCCTTCCTCCAGCTGGGTTCTCTCACCTTCCTTCCTCAAGGCTCTGAGCACCTGCCGCTGTCCCCACTCCTTAGCTCTGACTGCTCCCAAGCCCATGGAAGCAGGGACCAGGTCAGCATGTCCACTATCCTATTTCCAGGACCAGCACAGTGCCCACCACACACATAGTCGTCACATGTTGTATGTCTGCCAGATGAATGAATGATTCTCTAATGGCCTTCTGCCACTCAACCACTATTAACTGGGTACCCACTGGGTGCCAGGCACTGCTGATTGGGAGGTAGATGAACATAGGACCAGCCTGGAGGAAGTTTCAGTCCAGAGTGGGCGCAGAATATATATGTCAGTGCCGTCTTAAGTACGTCTTAGAATAATGAGGAGAATGGATCAATCAATGAATGACAAATTATCAGAGCCACCAGGGAGGAAGGAGCCAAGTTCAGTGGGAATACAGACAAAGGAGCCATTGATCTGCCCAGGGGAGTTCAAGGAAGCTTTGCTGGCGGAGCTTGTGGTGTGATTTCAGCCTTGGAGGATGGGGTGTTTGCCCTAAGGGCAGGTGGGCGAAGGGCCATCCAGGCAGAGGGGCCAGGGATGAGCAAGCGTGTGCAGGTGTAAAATTCCTGCTGGAGCAAGTGACTAGACATGCTTCTTCGGGACAAGACCACATATCATGTATTTCCCAGAAGGTGGGTGTGGGTGGCCTCACAATGGCATTGTAATTAATAGACTCATCCTGTTAAGCTCCATTTAGAGTGATTCTGTGTAGAGACAAAATGTGAATAATCTTCTCGTTAAATGCATTTCCAAAAGCACCAAGGAAAATCTAGGACCCAGGTGCCAATCGCCCCAGGTTTTGGCCCTCAGGAGAGAAGGGTACCAGCCAGCCAGCCCTTAACATCACCTGCAGGTCAAGTGCCTGGAGTGTCTCCTGGCACACAGCAGAGGCTCCCAGCTCCCGGTTCCAGGGCACAGTCCCTCCTCTCCTGGCCAGGGAGCTGGCCTCCTTGCCTGGACCCTGCCCCCTGCCCCCAGAACTGGAGACAAGAAGCTGGGCGGGCTGCTTGGGGGCTTTTAGGAATGAGGTCGCTGCCTGCAAACTTGCTGACTCAGACTCCACCAGGTGCTGCATCGTGCACAGCCGGGGAGGCCCCAGTCTTCAGTGTTTGCCCAGCTCTCAGACCATTTCCTGCTCAGATTTGGGAATTTTCAGGCCTGGAGGGAAAGTCCCTTGAGAGGAATGTTAGAAAGAGAAACGGATCCACTTGGAGGGCGCGGAAGGAAAGAAAAGCACTGTCCGCGGCTAGAGCGCGGAAGGGCGCGAGGCGGTGGAGGGCGCGTTACTTTCCCGAGCACGGAAGACCAGGCAACTGAAGACAGGCGGGGAAGACCAGCCCGAGGGTGGGGGCGGGGAGGCGGCTCTGTGGGGCTCTGGAGTGTGTGTGTGTGTTGCGCGCTTGTGTGTGTGTGTGTGTGTGTTTGCGCGCGCGCGTGTGTGTCTGGCTCCTGTCCAACGTAATTTCCCATAAACCACATGCCTAAGTCGCTTAAAAAGGCTGTGCCGAGGAGCTGGCGGAGCCGGCTGGGGAAAGTGAAAGTTCGCCTGTTGCTCTCCGCGCCGCAGCCGGCTCTCCGCACTCCCGCGACAGCCGCGCGGCCCTCGGCTGGGCGCAGGCTCGGCAGCGGCGAGCGAGCGAGCGAGCGAGAGAGGGCGGCCGACGCGCCCGGCCGGGACCCAGCTGCCCGTATGACCGCGCGGGGCGCCGCCGGGCGCTGCCCTCCCACGGTAAGAGGCTGTCGCAGCGCAGGGCAGGGTTGGTGCTGGTGCTCTGAGACGACGCGGCCCCTCGGACCCGAATGCCCGAGCGCGCCGGCTGCAGAGGCTCTCCGGCGGGCTCCGGCCGCCTTCCCATTTCAGCGTGCAGGCTGCTCCGCGGCCCCGGAGGCGCTCGGGCTGAGACCCGCTGCGGCCCTGCCGCTGCTCCTGGGGCTGCGGCTCTTCCCTGGGAAAGGGAAGGCTGCTCATCCTACTGCACGGAGGGGTGTCCACTGAGCCACCCGCTGGCAGGAGAGAGGGCTTCGCAGCCACGGGCAGGGGCTCCATGTCAACCAGGGGGCCCTTGCCTCTCTCCCTTCTGACGGACCGCTGCCGAGGGACAGGCTGAGTGGCAGTGCGCTGAGTGTGGCGCCCTCTCAGTGGGCACCTTCCTCATCGACCCCGCACATGCTTCCAGGTTCCGATGGGGACTGTGCGCTCCTGGATAGAGAAAGTTCAGGGGTCATCAGCTTATAGAATGCCAGGGCCTGTGCCCAGGAACCGCTGGCAGAAAGGAGGAGCCCCGCAAGCCGCGACTTGTTCCAGCTCACAGAAGGAGCTGATGGCGACTTGGGTGGCTGAATTAAGTCTGTTTTGGGGGGATCAGACCCCAGAGTTGCCTCTGGATAGCTCTGAATTTTTTAATTTTTATTTTCATTTATTTTTTATTTTTTGCAAACTCAGGCGCTGTTCGTTGGGGGAGATCCTGGGCTTGGCGGTGGTAGAGGAAGGAGGGAGGCAGGTTTGGCATTGGGGAGCTGTGGATGGGGCTGCTCAGGACTGAATGGGAACGGTCCTGCCCTCGCTGCGGGTGGCAGCTGCCTAGCTCCTAGAGAGCGCAGGGTGGCACTGTTAAGGAACAGTGAGTGGCCTCCCAGTGGGTTTGCTTCTGGGGAGCTCTGGGAGAAGAGAAGCAGAAAAGTGTTTGGAGGGTGAGGGAGGGGGTCTCAGGTGGGGTGAGAGGGAGGGCAGAGCAGACCCACTGGGGAGGAAGAGCCCAACTCAGAGAGGAGATAGTGCTGAGAGGCGGGATGGGGAGGGCGAGGCAATAGGCTGCACGAGCAAGACAAGGAGCTAGAGGTGAGTCCCTGAGGCAAGAGGAGGAAAGTAAAGGGGGCTGGTTTTGGACAGGGCGGCCCAAGGGGCCACTTCTGCCAAGGTGTCTCCAGGGACTGTCGATGGGGAAGATGGAACAGGAGGGGAGGCCGTGAGGATGGACAGCTGGGAGGAGACATCCCAGCATCTCTCTGAGCACTCAGCAGAGGTCCCTTCCTGGCTGCCCCAGAGGCTGAGGCTGGTGGGTGGGAGGAAGAAAGGAGGAGGGAGAAGAGGCAGCCCGGCCAGAAGCAAGCTAGAGCGTTAACCCTTGGGTGCCCGTCCAGATCCTCCTGTGAGGCAAAAGCGGGCTCCCAGGGGCCAAGTCAGCCTCCCACGTGGAGGCTGCACTCTTCTCACGCTGATGCCTAAAAAAGGCTCCCAAAGCCAGGCAGCCCTGGAGGTCACGCACGGCGTTCCCCTCGGAGTGCCTGCCACAGGCTTTCCCTGAGCATCCCCTCCCCCTCGGCCAGTTCCTCGGAACCACGTACAGGGGGGCCTCAGAGCCTCCATGGCAGCCGGACAGGGGCCCACACACCTTCTGCGTGGCCCAGTTTCCTGCGGGTCTGCATAGTCACTTGCACCCGAGGCTGCCTCCTCACTGCCAAGGAGAGCCCAAGGCCCTCCCGGGCACCGTGATTCTCCTCCCTCTTCCACTCTTCCCCTCCCCCAAGTCCGGCCAGGACCCTCACCACATCCCTGTGCCCAGTGGGACTGGACACGCTGTGCCTCTTCCCTTCAGGTCCTCCTTTCCCTCCCTGCCATCAATCTCTCCCCATCTTTCCAGCCTCCCTGGTAGCCCAGCCAGGACCTCTTCTCCCTGGTAAGGGCTGGCACACATTTGAGCTTTTAGTTATATGTAAATTAGCCATTGTGGGCTGTTTCCTAGCCTCCTTGTGTTTTTCCAGTGCTCTATTTATTTGCCGTATTTGTCTCATCATCTGGATTACTGAGGCGGAGCGCAGAGCCCCGGGAGGTGCCAGCCCTTGCCCTGCCCTGACAGCATTTCCCTGAATCTGGGGGCATCCTGGGCCAGGAGGTGACCTCCAGCTGGAGACAGAAAGCACAAGGGTTTTTCTCTACCTCTGGATGGAGAGGGGGCCCCTTAGGGCCAGGGAGAGGCTGAGGAGTGAGGAGGAGGGCGAGAGGGAGGACAGAGAAAGACAGGGTGTCAGGGTGACAGGGAGCCAGCCCCGTCACTCTGGGGGTCAGCAGCCACTGGGCCACATGGGCGCTGAAAGAGGAGAGAGATCTCAGAAAACATCCTGGCGTGTTAACAGCTGGCTGGCTGAATGCACAGCCTGATGGGGCCGCATTAGGCAGGTGCCAGCCCGATGGCCTAGCACTGGTGCTGCTGCCGCCTCTGATTAATTTTGACACATGTGCGCACACGCTCAGGCCTCCAGAGGTCTCTAGCATGAGATAGGATCCCAGTGAACCTGAATTTAGGCCCCTGGCTTTTCCAGTAGCAGAGCTAGACTTGTGTGGAACCAAGTGGAAGGAAAGGCTGGGCCCGAGGGAAATGTCTCTGGCACAAAGACTGGAAACCAGTGCATGAACACGAGCTTGAGAGGGGTGGGCAGCTGACAAGGTGCCTGACTCAGTGTTCGATGTTGCAAGAACAGAAAAATGGGTAGAAGCAAGTCTTACACTCAAAAAGTTTCCTGTGTGGCTGGAATTTAGCCTGGTAGGCCTACCTCCCAGGTCCCCATTCCAGATCAGCGTGGAGTTAAGACTGGGCCTGGGCTAATCTGGGAAGTTTTCTGGGCGAGGATGGCACGGGGGTTGTCATCGAGGGAGAGCAAGGCTGTGCCGAGGCTGTTAGGCAGCCTCGGGGAAGCTGGATGCGGGCAAGGCCGCCTCCTGGGGTGAGGGGCAGAGCCGGGGGTGCGGGTAGGAGGGCATGGGGGCTGCTGGGGAGAGTGAGAGCTGGGGAGAAATGAGGGTCTCTCTCTCGCAGACATGGCTGGGCCTCCAGCTACTGCTGGTCTGTCTCCTGGTGAGCAGCAGTATTACCAAGGAGCAGCTGAAGCACTGTAGCCAAATGATTGGGGACGGACACCTGCAGCTCCTGCAGCAGCTGGTGAGTGTGTGGCCCAGTCTGCCCCACTTTCTCTGCACCGGGGAAACTGAGGCTGGAGCCCCCGAGTGGGGACAAAGAGAGGGGATGGCAGGCAGAGAAATCGGGCTGTGCAGGACATGCCTAAACTGATGCTGCCCTCACCGACCTTCTTAAGGTCGGGGCCTCTGACCCCCAACCCTAAGCCCTCTCTGACTCCCCAGCAGGGAAGGGGATGGGGTGGGGGGCTTCCAGCTGGTTGCCTGGGGGAACGATGAAGAGTCTTGGGGAGCCCGCCGCCTGCCGCTCAGTGGGATGCGTCCTCTGAGGGGCCAGCCCAGGCTGCCTGCTGTGCCCCGCGATGTTGCCTCTAGTTCCTGGATTCCCAGATGTGACTCCGGCTTTGGAGCGGGGGCTCGTGCCTAACTCCCAGCCCTCCGCCCTCCCGGCCCTGGCTCTTGCCCCAGCCCTAGGGCTTGGACGGCCGCTCATCCTGGCCACGAAGGGGCCTGAGCCTCGTTCTGATTGGGCCAGCAGAGTCACCAACGGCTCCGAACGTGGTCCAGCCAAGCAGACTCAGGTTGCTGTCATGGCCACTGTCCTGTTCAGAGGAGAATTTACCATCCCTCTGGCCAGCCAGGCAGGGTGGGGCGTCGCTGGCGAGGGCCAGCTCCAGGGCCCTGAGCTTGGAGCCTGGAGACTGGGCCTCCTGCCTCTCTTACCCCCACGCTTTTCCTCCTGCATGCAGCTGCCGCAGAAACCTAGGGGGGACCAGGAGCCCCTCTCTGAGGCTTTGCGCCCCAGAACCACTGCCCTGGGGGCCAATCAGGGCATTTAACTCCAGCCCTTAACAGATCCTGAATCCTCAGAATTTGCCTAGCCTCTGCTTGGATTCCTGCCTTGACAGGGAGCTCACTACCCCTCTAGGAGATTATGTTGTATATTCTCTATTAGATTGTTCTTCCCTATAACAAGTTGACATCTGTCAGGTTTCATGGACAGAGAAGTAGGAGGAAGAGACTTCTTATCCCCCTACAGCCCTTCCTTGGGCACGTGGGAGGCACAGGTCTTCCCCTGTTTGTCTTTCCAGGTGTGGTTGGGGGAAGGTGGGTGAGGATCAAACCCCGACCTACCCAAAAACTCTAGTCCCTGTTGTTAGGCAAGCTCAATCAAGCCGCGGACACCCTGCCACCCCTGGCCTGCTCTCTCTTACAGATTGACAGTCAGATGGAGACCTCGTGCAAAATTCCCTTTATGTTCGTAGATGAGGACCGATTGGTGAGTTATGGCTATTTTCGAGACCCCGCTGGGAGGCACGTCTCAGGATGGCTATATGTGGGAGCCTGAAGGCTGGAGAAACTCTAGAGCTGGGCAGGGTGAAGTGTGAGGACCCCTGGGTGCTAAGCTGGGGGAACCAGGGTCCAGGGCTGGGCAGGGCGAGGGGCTCAAGCCCGTTGCAGCTCCCTTTTCCTGGCGCATGTCAAGATCTTGCTATGTTCCAGGCGCGTTCCTAATTTAATCTGATGGAACTACTGTGTGGTGCACTGGCCTTGTTTATTGTCCCCAGAGAGATTAAGGGAGCACAGCTAGTAAGTGGCGACGGTCCCATTTGAACCCAGGCAGGCTGGCTCTAGGGCCTGAGGCAAACCACCACTTCTGGGTCACAAGCTTTGCTTAGGGATGTCACCTCCATCCAGCAAACAGACCCACCGCCAGGGGGTCAGTCCAGCCCTTTCCCTCTTCCTTCTGCCCCACCCCTAACACAAACAAAGTGTGCTGCCGGCGTGGTGTCCCCATCAGCTGCAATTTCAAGCGCTTCCCCAGCGCCCTCACAGCTGCCGGTGTGCCCCTCATCCTGCCACTAAGGGGAGCTCTTGGAACCCTAACCTGCTACTTCCTCTTCCCCTCAACCTGTCAGGGCACCCCGCCCCCCGCCCCCCCCACTACCCCTTTCCCTGCTCTTCCTGCTCCCGGGCCTTTGCCCAGCTCCTCCTGGTGCCGCAGAGCCTTTCCAGCGCTCCCTGCCCCAGCCCTTATTCCGAGTTTGTTCATCTCTGTGCCTCATGCAAAATCGCTCTGACGCCCAGAGGTTGTTCCCACACACCTGAGCCACACATGCCGGTTAGATCCGGAGGCCCCCTCGCAGTGCGCAGAATGTGTTTCCTTCCTCCGGTGCTAGGAATACGGAGCTACAGTAGTCTCCGGTGAGGCAACTGCCATCCTCCAGGGAGACAAAACCCTGAGGTTATTCCTGGAAACATGAGGCGTCTCCAGGACCTCTGTAGCCTGCAGTGTTAGAAGGAAGCATGTAGAAAAGGACCTTATGTGGAAGCAAGCCAAAAGAGAGGCAGAGGGAGAGAGAAGTCCCCCAGAACCTACCCTCCCGACGCTGCTTCTTCCAGAAATCCGGAGCTCTCCCTAATCAGAACCCACACTTCCCTCCCTCTACCCCCCCACCCCCCACCCCCGCAGTGCCAGATCCCAAAGAGAGAGAGAGAGAGAGAGAGGCCAACAGAGGGCAAGGTCTTCCTTAGCCTCTGCCCCGGCGGGTGGGAGGGGTCAGGGTCAGGGTTGGGATCAAGGTCAGGGTCAGGCAGGCTGCGACCCTCCCTCTGCTGGAGTGGGGGCATCGGGCACACACAGCCGGGTTCCCAGCCGCATCAGCCAGACCATCAACTCCACGTTCTCTTTCAGAAAGACCCTGTGTGTTACATTAAGAAGGCATTTCCTTTGGTGCAAGACATCCTGGAGGATACCATAAGTTTCAAAGACAACACCTCCAATGCCAATGCCCTCGCGAAGCTCCAGGAACTCTCCGTGAGGCTGAAGGATTGCTTCCCCAAGGTGTACAAAGAGCAGGACAAGGTAGAAGGGCCCCCGGAGTCGTGCGTCAGGGCGGAGGGCGGCTGTGGCGGTCCTCTCCCGGCCCACGTGCACAGAGTGCATGCACTTCCTCACCCCGCGTCCCCGCTCGCTCACTCTCTCGTTCGAGTCCCCATTCCACTCACCTTTGCGAAGGCGCAGTGCTAGGCCTTGACAGCGTCTTCATGAGCAAGAACCACCTGGAGCTTGTAGTTAAATGAGATCACACCTCATGGAGCTTGTAGTTAAATGAGACTAGCAGCCATGAGACAAACAATACCACAAGCAAACTGAATCACAGACCACAAGGATCCTCCCTTTATTCCACAAATAGTCACGAGTGCCCGCTCTGCACCCAGCACCGGCCTAGACACCAGGAGACGAAATAGAAGCAAAAATCCCCACATTCACGGAGCTTCCAGTTGGGGGCAGTGAGACAATGAACAAAACAGAGGTCGAATAGCGGGTGTGCCTGAGGAGCCGAGGAGGGGAAGGTGGGGAGGAGGTGAGGGAGGGAGCCCTGAAGGAGCCCCGACTGGGAGAGAGAAACGGGGCTCTAATTTAAAACGGGGTGGGGAGGAAAAGATGGGAAGGTTTCTGAGTAAGAAAATAATCACTTGAGGCCCAATGATGGGAAAATCAGGAGGCAGTAAGGCTGGTCAGAGCGCTGAGGTGAGCGGGAGCGGGCACATTCAGGGCCCAAAGGGGAGGCAGAGGGCAGTGTGGCAAGCGTGGCCAGGCATGGACTTGAAGGGGTAGGGGAGAGGAGTCTGGAGCCAGATCCCCTGGGGTCCTACACCGCCGGAGATTAGATCTAGAGCCTGAGGGGCAGCCGAGGTTGAATGGGCAGGTGGCCTGACCTAATTTGCGTGTGAGAACCTTCTGGTTGCTGTGAGGAAAAGTCTGGAGGCTGGGAGACGGGCAGGAGACCCGAGTCCCAGGCAGGGCTGGAGGTCAGTGTCGGTGGCAGGTGCCCCATCAGGGTGAACAGAGAGGAACCAGAGACAACACTGTGGGGACTCAGCTCCAAAGACTGCAAAGAGGGAGGTCACCGGAGGGAGCGTGGGATGGAGGGGAGGAAGCCTGTTTTAACGAGGTATTAAATCTGTGATTTTCCAATGTTAATGTTCTTAAGAATCACTTAGGGAGCTTATTGAAAATACAGATTCCCAGCGTGCACCCTTAGAGGGTCTGATTCACTGGGTCTGTGAGGGGGCCCAGGAATTTGCATTCCAACGAGGCACCTGCCCTAAGGGACACGTCCGTGGCCTGGGAGGGACAAGCCGCTGATGCTGGAGGAGCTGGCCTCCTGCGGCCTTGGCTGGGGAGGCATTCGGAGTTCCTGAGGAGGGAAGCCAGAACCTCTGTGGACACCGGTGGGCCCCTGGGGCCTTCTGTCTGATGGCCCCTGTTTTCTCCATGAAGAAAGGCAAGAGCGCTAGTGTGGCTCTTTGTACAGCAGTCCTGGGGGAGGCTGGCAGGCACTGTTGTTTTGACTTTACAGATGAGGAAATGGGCCCAAACTGGGTAGTCCATGTGGGCGGTATCACCTAGCTGGTGAGTGATGGCACTGAGCCCAGGTCGCCTCGTCCCTACACCCTTTCATTGTCTACCTGGTGAACACTGATGGAGGGCTGACTAGGCACCGGCCATGGGCACACAGCGATGCCCACAGCTTCACAGCCCAGTCCAGCTCTTACCTGTGCAGCTCTGTTTAAGGAAAGACTTGGTATCTGGAAGTCATCGGCGAGTAGGCCATAGACGAAGCCATGGGCGTGCATGGCACTGGGGTGTACGTGACCCCCGGGCGGGCCCAGGGCAGGGCCCTGAGGAGTGCCAGCGTTCAGAAGCCAAGAGCAGGAGGGGAGCCTGGTCCAGAGACTGAGAAGGAGCTGCCCAAGAGTTGGGAGGGAAGGGAGTGTGTGCGAGGTTTCTCAGAGCTCCCTTGGGTGTGGGGAGCCTGTGTCCCCGGAGTAGAAGAGACAGGGCTGGGCCACTTTGGACCTCCTTCCAAGACACCAAGGCCAAAGAAGCGCACACAGCCCCAGGGCCTGCTCCAGTCCATTCTCTGCACCATGGTCCCTCCCCCCACCTCCGCAGGCACCTCTCAGATGTGTTCTCTTTGCTCTGTGGCTAAGGTTACCAGTTCTTGCCATGGCCAACAGAGAGCCGCAGGACCGGCCCTTGCTGACCTATTTCAGTTGCACCTCTCGCCGCTCTTGTCCTTCTTTTAGTTGTGGACAGTTCAGGCTGTTTTCTGCCTCTAGGCCTTTGCGCAGTCCGTTCCCACTGTCTGGACAGCTCTCGCCCACTCTGCCTCCTTTCCTGCTTAACTTTTGCTCACCTTTTAGTCGCTTCTTAGGCACGTTCCCCCTGAGCCCTTTTTGTACACTCTCAGATCATTCACTGCTCCTTCACAGGACTCATCACACTTGTAAGAATGGCTTTAGTCCCCGTGCCTTGCGGGTCTCAATGTCCCGCTTCGCCAGGGACCACCTCTCTCGTTCATTGCGTTTTTGCCAGGTAATTGCCATCTGCCTGACACATCTCCGTGAAGTGACGTATCTCCCGGCCTGGGGACTGATTCTGCTGCAAACTAGGGGAGGGGGAGGGAGAAAGTGAAAGAGAAAAAGGAGGCAGATGTGAGAAAAAGCCAAGGGAGTTTGACAGACAAGCCAGAGACATGGGGTCAATGGTCATCCTCACCCCGGGGGAACCCGCTTTCCTTCCAGGCCTGTGTCCAAAACTTCTCTGAGTCGCCCCTCTGGTTGCTGGAGAAGATCAAGAATGTCTTTAGTGAAACAAAGAATCTCCTTAAAAACAACCAGGACATTTTCAGCAAGGACTGCAGCGACAGCTTTGCTGAATGTCCCAGCCAAGGTAAGTGCCAAAGGGCCGGCAAGGGGGAGGCGGCGGGAGGGCGTGTGGAACAGGGCAGGGACTGGGAGGTGGGACATGAGGCTGGAGGGACCCCGGGGAGGCAGCCTGGCTGCTACTTGTGCTCCTGTGTGTGTAGATGTGCTTGTCCTGTGTACATATATGGCTTCGTGTACCCCTGGATGGTCTTAGACACATGTCTCTTCTGACATGTGTGTGCATGCACACCTACAAATGTCTGCATGTCAAGGCATCGAGAAGGATCGTGCTGATGGCTGCGAGATTAGGGAGCGGAAAAGGGGGCCCCTCTCGGAGAGCCCCGTAGGCATGGCAGCTTTCCCCACCGGCTCTGCAGGCTGGCCGAACGTGTGGGGGGTTCGTGGAGAGCGCAGAGGCTCCACGTGGGAGTCAGGGCCCTTGCTCCGGGACCCCTGCTGCGAATCACCAGGATACCCTGGCTCCGGAAGTCCTCAGGATGCCTTGAGTGTCCCCTCAAGGGACAGGCTGGATTTGAAGTCTGAACATCGTTCAAACTCTCCCAGGGCTGGCACCAGCTGCACACGTATTCCCTGCGTGTCCTCGTCTCTGCGTCCTGTGTCACGTGTGCCCTCCTCCACGCAACCTTGCTCCCCGGGATGGGCACTGAGCCCTGCCATCTGCCAATGGCCAAGTCCAGTCTCTCCGTTTCCATCCTGAGGCCTCAAGCCCCGCCCCGTTCCAGCCCCAGCCTGTGCCCGCCCGTGGCTATGGCAGTGTGCCCCTTGCTGTGCATGACACCACCTTGCTGCTTCCTGCCAACGCCGTGTCTCTGGGGCTTGAGGGTGTCTTGTGTTAGTCCTGGAGGCCGCTGCTCAACCTCCTGGCCGGCCGCTGCTCACCCCTGGCTTGGTATCTGGCCGACTGGAACTCCAGGGAGGGCTGTGCTCTGGTCTTCGCTGGCCCAACCCCCAGTCTGTGCCTCTAAACCCTGCTCTTCACTGCCTGCCCAAAAGCCCCTGCAGTTTACGCCTTCCCTGCCTGCAGCCCGTGACAGGAGCATCGGCTCCAGTGCTGTCCTGTCCTCGGCCCCAGGGCGGAGTTAGGGGATGCGGGTCCCCCCAGACCCACAGCCCCTCTCCAGTCCCTCTGGGAACGCTGTGCTGGAGGCTGGTGACTCTATCTCCTCCCCGTCTTTCTCTCTCCCTCTCTGTGGTTCTTTCAGATGTGGCGACCCAGCCTGATTGCAACTGCCTGCACCCCAAAGCCACCCCTAGCAGTGACCTGGCCTCTGTCTCCCCTCAGCAGCCCCTTGCCCCCTCCAGTGCCCCTATGGCTGGCTCGACCTGGGCTGAGTCTGGGGGGACAGCGGACAGCTCCCTCTTGCCCAGGGAGCAGCCCCCTCGCACAGTGGACCTGGGCAGTACCAAGCAGCGACCACCCAGGAGCACCTGCCAGAGCTTTGAGTCACCAGAGACCCCAGGCGTCGAGGGAAGCCCCACAGGAGGTTCACCCCAGCCCCGCCCCTCTGCCGGGACCCCAGTCCCTGGGATGGAGGACGTTCTTGACTTTGTGCTGAACAGTGACTGGGCCCTAGAAGAGGCCTCTGGAGAAGCTAGTGAGGATCCTGGACCCCAAGGGCCAGAGCCCTCCTCCTCCAGGCTGGGAGGAGGCCTTGTCCCGGCAGAGGCCTCCAGACCAAGCGACGTCGTTTCGGCGCCTCCATTCTCCAGATCAGCCAAGGGCCAGCCGCCAGCAGGTGGAACCGGCACCTCCCTGCCCACGTTGGGCCCTGTGAGGCCCACTGGCCAGGCCCGGAGCCACACACCTGACAAGGCAGACCATCCCACCCTGCCACCCAGAGACCTCCAGGAGCCAGGCTCTACCAGGACCCCGTCACTGCGCCCGAAAGGCCTCAGCCATCCCTCCACCCTCTCTGCTCGGCCAGGGCTCCCCAGCAGCCACACCCGGGGCAATGCGCTGCCCCATGGGGAGCTGCCGGGCAAGAGGAGCACCAGGGCACGGCGGAGCCCTGCAGGGCTGCAAGGAGCAGGAGCCCGTGAGGGGGCGGCCCTGCCCCGGGCCCATTTTAACTCCGTTCCTTTGACTGATGCAGGCGATGAGCAACTCCCCCCTGAGCCCCAAAGGCCTGCCTTCTATGGGCCGGGGTCCGGTTCCGGCATTGGCGTCGGGGGCGTCATCCTGGTCCTGCTGGCTGTGGGCGGCCTGCTGCTCTACAGGCGGAGACGGCGGGTAAGAAGAGCCCGATGACAGAGAGGCAGGCACCTCGCGGGGGCAGTGGCACAGCCGGGTGGAGGAGCAGGTCCAGCTGGTGGCAGGCTGGCTCGGGTTTGGCCTAGGTTCTTCCGATGCCCAAGGACAGGAGGCTGACTGAGCACCAGGGGACAGCGGGGGTGGGGTGGGGTGCAGTTAGTTAAAATGGAGGGTTCTCCAAGACTGGGGAGGGCTCAGGCTGTAAGGCCAACCGGAAGGGCCAGGGCAGCAGGGAGTGGGAGAGAATCTTCCATGGCCAGAAGCAGGATGAGAACCTGGCTGGGAGCAAAGGGATGCGGTGTGGGCCAGGGCCGGGTGTTCCCCGGCAGCTCTGCAGAGCCTGGGCCCCCCGGGGGCGGGGGGGGGTGCCTCAGGTAGGAGACAGCCTGCAGGGGCGTCACCAGCAGGGAGCCCACAGGGAGCTTCCCTGGCCCTGTGGCTCATCCCACCTTCTGGGCAGCAAGGCAGACTTTGGTAATCTCTCCTCGACTCTCCCATTAGCCCTGTCTGCGGGGGGTGCAGTTCCCCAGCCCCCCACCCAGCTCCTCAGTGAGCCTGCTCTTTTCTGTCCCCAGAGCCATCGAGAGACTCAGACAGTGGACTCTCCCATGGAGCAACCAGAGGGCAGGTGAGGCACCAGGGGCCTGTCTCGGCATCTCTTCCCCCTCAGATTTGGGGGAGACTTCCCTCCACTTGCTCGGAGGCAGTGGAGCTCGGAACAGGGCTGGGGGGTGGAGAGGGGGCAGGGTGTCTCTTCTTGCCCGCATATCCAGGGTCTTTCCTGATTTCTTCGTAGGGTTAGCAGTCTTGGGTCTTGGGTGGTGGGGGCAAACTTAGGGGTTTCCGCACTGCCCGGCCTCTGCTGGAGTCTGATGCCAGTCTGTGCTCTGCCCACAGCCCCCTGACCCAGGATGAGGACAGACAGGTGGAAATGCCGGTGTAGAGGGAGTTCTAAGGTAAGACTCTGGCTTTGGATTTCTCTCTACCCCTGAAAATTAGCTACATCCTTTTCCAGTCGCCTAACTTGGTGACACCACCGCCTCCCTGGAGGCCCACACCCTTGGCCCAGGCCCCCCTCTCCTGCCCTGTCTTCCATTCGTCGCCAGGGCTGGCTGACGCTCTCCTTTCTGGGTCCTCGGGACCCCTCCATTCCCTCCGCCCATCTGAGGGCAGGCACTGTTACTCTTTCTGCACTGAGTCATTGTTTCTGCCTCAGGCTGCCAGCCTCCCTGCCCCCATCCGCACCGCAGCCACCCAGATCCTCTTGTATAAGGTCTTTATCCCCCTGGAGAATTTCAGCAGCTGTGCCTCGCCCACCCTTTCCAACCACCCGCCTCATCTTGGCTCCCAAGCTCCATCAGCAGCTGCCGCCTGTGTGCCTCTTGCCACCTTCTTCTCTGCTTGCATCCTGTTTTGGCCCTTCTCCCCAGCCAAGGTCATCCCTGCCTCCCTGAGTTTAGATTCATGGAGTCATAGAACCTTAGTCTTGGAAGGGCTCTCAGAGGTCATTTGGCCTAACATCCCACCCCAGAGGGGCCTCCCCTCTCTGCCTCCCTGACCGGGAGTCACAGGCTTCCGATCACACAGTCCCAGAGCGAGGCCAGCTCCCTGCCATCTGCCAATAGCACCGTAAGGAAGTCCTTCCTCACGTGAGGCCTGACTGGCTTCCCGGCCACCCCCATCCCCACGCTGGTCCTCCCTCTTATTCTCATGAGAGCCCTCCAATATCTAATGTCAGTTACCCACGTCCCCTTTAAGAATTCTCTAAGCTAAGTGTGGCCAAGTCCCTCAAACATTCCTTATATGATATGGTTTTCAGACCCCTCACCATCCTGGTCGCCCTCCTTTGGACACACTCGTTTGTCAATGTCCCTCTGAAAATGTGGCGCCCAGCCCTGGACACAGTGCTCCAGACGTTGTCTGACCAGCTCAGAGTACAGTGGGACTGTTACCTTCCTTGATCTGGACAGTATTCTGCTATTCGTATAGATTAAGATCGCATTAGTTTTTTATTTTTTCTTTTTTAAACAACTGCATCGTACTGTTGTCATATATTGAGCATGTGGTCTATTAAAACCCCGAGTTCCCCCCGCCCCCCAATAACCTCTGTCAAACCAGACCTCTATCCTGTATTTGGACAACTTAATTGTTTTGACCAAAGTGCAGGAGTTTATACACATCCTTGTCAAAACCACCCCATTGATACCTGCCCAGTCCCTGTGCCTTACGGAATTGTTTTCCATCCTAATTCTGTCTGCCTGGCCCTGTCAAGTGTGTCTGCTGCACGTTGATGGGCGCCTTCTGTTGTCCTCACCCACGTTATTGATAAAGATGTGACCCTTGTTCCGCCTGGCTCCCGAGCCAGGCGGCCCCACCCTCCCTCCTCCCTTCCCTCCCCTCAGCCCACAATGAGCCACAGGAAGTCCTCCTGAGATCTCCATCTCCCTCTGGTAGCTCCTTTCGTTCACACCCCTCTGCTCTCCTGTATTTGGTTAATGCTGTATCAATTTGCACAGACGTGGATGTTGTTTTTATACATTCCAATTCCTATTTTATGTGTATGTTTACATCCTGCACTCCTAAGAAGGCTGTAAGCCCCTCGAGGGCAGGGACTGTGTCTTCTACTGTTTTTGCATTTCTTTGCCTATCCCGGGTTCTGAAACAAAGAGGGCTTCTCTGCACTTGCCAAGAACTCAATAAATGTTGACTGGCTTCAGGGCTGACTGACCAATTGACTCTGGCCAGCTCTCTCTAACTGATCAGCCTTCTGGCTGACCGGTTAACTGGCTGGCTGATTGACTCTGACTGACGGGTTGACCAGCAGGCTGAGTGACTCTGACTGACCAGTTGACTAGCTAGTAACTGTCTAACTGGTTAGTTGTTGATTGGGGAGTTGATTGGCTCACTGACCAGCAGGCTGAGTGCCTGGCTGGCTGGCTGGCTGGCTGGCTGACGAGTTGGCGCGACCCATTCAAATTTTCAGCCACACCCCATGCCAAACGCAAGCCAGCGTCTTAGGGCCTTCCCGGGTGTTCGGTGACAGGCCACTCCTAGCAGATAGGGGATCTGACACATGTTCCAAGCCAGGGGAGCCTATTCGGAAAAGAGCAAAAATACCGCATCTGGAATCCTGGGGTCAACCTTGTGGGTAGGGAAAGGAGGTCAGGGGGGACACTGGCCGGGCTGTGAGGGTGACCCAGACCTGTCGGGACTGCTAAACAGAGGATGCACTGGGGTCCCGGGGACTTGGTGGTGCGGGGCGGCACCACCCTCTGACAGTGGCCAGCCCGCCCCCAGGTCTTAGCCGACTGCCCTGGGCGTGCTCGCTCTCCTTTCCCTGCCTGCCTGCTCTCAGGCCTTCCTTCCCTCAAGACTTCACGCAGAGAGGGAAGCCACCCCAAGGTGGTCTCCAGGCCAGGCACCAGGAGTCTCAGGGAGGTCAGAGCCAGCCCCACACTGACTGCCGCTCTGACAAGAGAGATTGGGGGGCGGGGGCGGCCCTCAGAAAGAAGACATGGCGCCCACCCCTCCAGTCCAGGGACTGAGGACACAGGGTAGCAGGCTGGAGCTTGCCCACTTGGCCCTTCTTGCCTGCTGGCCCCAGCAGGGCCTGTGGCCCAGCTGTACCCAGCGTGGCTCCTGTCCAGTTTATGGCTCCCCTTTCCTCTCCCTCCAGAGCATGGGAACGGGCCGGGAGCCAGAGGCTGTGGTCCCATCTTTCCTCTTGCCCATCACAGGCTTGGCCAGGAGGGCCTAGGGGCGGTCAGGGAGGGTAGCTCCGCACAGGGGCCTAAGTCAAACAGCTGGACGGAGTCCAGGGGATTTTCTGGTCTGGGAACAAAGCGTTCTGAGGATGCTGGGCAAGGGGACAAGGATGGGGGTGGAGTGGGGAGAGAGCGGGGCCGCGACTCCCATCCTGAAGGAGCATGCCAAGTGATAATGAGGGAGTTTCCTTGTCCTGGGACTACTTCTTGCTCTTCCTCTTCAGTTACCTCTGCTCTGCTCTGCTGTCCAGACCATTGTGTGTGGTGACTGGCATGGAGGCGGGAGTGGGGAGTCTCTTTGCAAGAGTTAGCAGGATTTCCTCCGGCTCACTGGACCACGGCCAGCAAGGTGGCCTTGCCTCAGGCGGGATCTGAGGACACTCAGGTGCCCCCTCCCCTCTGTGTCAGAGCCCGTTGCCTGAGCAGTGCCCCCTCGCGCTGCTCAGACCTCTGCCAGGCCTTGTTACCTCCCTCTGTGGCCCCTGTTCTCCAGGAGGAGGTAGGAGGTGAGGGCAGTCTGGCCCGTGGCCGGGACGCCTGCCAGAGAAAGCTGCCTGGTCCCTTGCGGTGGCTGGGGTGGCTGGGAAGACGAGGGAGAGGATGGGAGGAAGTCCTGCCTGCAGTACTCCCAACAGCCCACAGGAACGCTGCGACTCCCCCACCCGTGTCCTCAGCGACCCCTCCCTCCACTCCCACTTGGCTGACCGGGCTTCTTTTTCTCCCCTACAGCTGGGCGCACGGGTCAGTCTCTCCATGGCAGGAGACCTCGTCGGGGCGTCTGCCGCCCTCCTCCTCAGCCATTCTCCTGGGAACACGGCCTGCCCACCGTGAGAACTGTCGCCTGCCCAATGAGACCAGAGCAGCCAGGCCGGGGTCCCTCCGCCCTCAACCCACAGGCTCTGGACAGACTCAGAGAGGGCTGGAGGATGCCCCCGACGCTGCTGATATTTATCGTGGGCCCTGGAGGCTCCCATCCATTCGAGGGAGGCTGGCGAGCCCGGCCTAGCACCCTCTGCCCCTCAGGGGCTGCTCTCGTCGCCCGCCGGCCCCTGGGCCAGGGACCCAGCGGCCCGTGGATGTGGACGGCAGGGTGGGCGCTGAGGAATGGAAGAGCCTGCGTGCCCGGAGGACCTGTTTGGTGTCAAGGGATGGATCCCTACCCCAACAAGCAGGGAGGCTCATGAGATTCGCAGGGTGGGCCAATGGCTGGGTTTCCCGGAAAGGCCTGCGGCCTGGAAGACGGCAAGAGAAGGCCTGCTGGGCTCCGCTCGCCCAAGCATCCTCTGCTGGTTGCCAGGTGGCGAGGGGAGGCCAGCCCTGCCCTCAGGACCTGCGTGGCTTGTGACGCCAAGGCGAAGACCCAGTCAGGCCCCCGCCCCGCTGCCCTCCCAGCACCTGCCAGAGCGTCTCCGGGAGGCCGGACAGAGGCTCCCCTCACGAAGGAAGCCGTTGCACTGTGAAGACTGAACCTGCCTGCTGTACAGCTTGCCCGCCCGTCCCGTGAACCAACATCCGTCTGCCTGCCCGCCCCTCCAGCCTCTCCCCAGCCTCTGCACTGAGCGCCCGAGCCGGCCTCGCCCGTCCACTGAGGAGGCCCCGGAGCCCTGACCTTCTGCTGATCCGGCCTCTGGGCTCTCTGGGGTGGATCAGGGCGGGAGAGCTGCCTGGGCCGCCAGCCAGAGCAGGTCTCCAGGCTGTATCTTTGGCCCAGGTTTCTGCATTTTGCACTTTGATGTTCCCAAGAGGGAAGTGACTAGTGGGAGGGAGGGAGGTGAGGAGAGACAGGCACAGGGAAGATCTCTGAAATTATGGGTATGCCCCTGAGGTCAGGGGGAGGCATCTGCACCTGTGACCTCTGCCACAAGCGTAGCTGCAAGGCCACTGCCCACAGGCACCTGGGCCTGAGCGCATCATCCCGTTAGGAGCCTGGTAGGCAGTGATGCCTCCAGCTCTCCCCCGTACCCACCCACCCACCCACCCACGACCACCATCTCTCTGACAAGGCAAGCCAGGGTCGGGGAGGGCCCGGGCATGTGCTTCAAGTCTGCCGCGAGGGCCTCGGCTTCCTAGGCCAGCCCACGGCTGTGGCTCTAGAGCTGAACAGCAGGCGACAGGGCTGTCAGTGGTCCTTGGTCCCTTTGTGCTGCTGTGTCCCTCCTCTCCTGCTGCCCTGGGCCCTCCACTTAGAGACCCTGCCCTGCGTGGCTGCTGGGCTGGGGCCCATGACCTTCCCTTCCTGCCCTTGAAAGTGAAGGTTAGCTGGCCCTGCCTCCTGCGCCCGCCGCTGCCAGCTGAGGGAAGGAGGCAGAGAACTTCCCCGTGGGGGCTCCTCCTTCTAGTCATAGACTCTATATTTGATGCTAGAACATACGTATTTAAAAGTGGAAGGGAAAAGATAAAAACAGAAAAAAGGCATTCCTCTTCCTTCCCTGTCCCTTAAACCTATAGTATTTTAAAAGCCAAGAAAGCAAAGAGCTTCGGCAATGGGTTGGACTTGCTTTCTTGACCCAGGAACGGGAGGGCCCCGGCCACCCCCCGTGGCTGCCCCGGCCACCTGCACAGGAAACCCTTCTTTTCTGAAAAAGCCGAGAGGGAACATTGGCTCACACACTGTGAGATTTTGTTTTTATACTTGGAAGTGGTGAATTATTTTATATAAAGTCATTTAAATATCTATTTAAAAAATAGGAAGCTGCTTATATATTTAATAATAAAAGAAGTGCACAAGCTGCCATGTGTGAGTCACGGGAGAAGTTATTTTGGGGGTGTGGATGGCGAAAATGGGGGTGTGTGGGCAGCAGCTCTAGCGTGAGACCCACCCGGCTCAGAAGGCTTTTTCCGAGGTGCATGGGGAAGAAATGTTCCCCCCAGGTTCGAACCTGGAAACCAAAACTGCCTGCACGGGTGCCTCCGGAGCACCGTGGTCTATGAATCTGTTTAATAGGAAGGCAGCAGAAACCAGTCCTACCGACCCCAGCCTGGCCACCAGCTCCTGCCCCAGCCAGCCCAGCCCAGCCCAGCCCAGCCTGGGAAAATGGCTGGTTGGGCTCTGTCCAAGGGCGAGGGGCCTGCAAGGACCAGGCTCCCAACCTCTGACCCCTGCTGTCCAGGGGACAGGGAGCTGGCCAGGTCCTAGCGGGGCCCAGGTGAATGGGCAGTGTGTCTGGGCCGGGCAGTGGGTGAGGCTGGGAGGGGAGCGAGCCAGCAGGCTGCGTGACGCCGCTGGCAGTGGAGAGGAGACGAGGATGTCCTGGGCGTGGCGGGAGGTGGGGGGAGGGAGAGGGGGGAGGACGGGCAAAGCGGTTGAAGCCTAAACAAGCACCCTGCGCCAAGCTGTGACAAGAGGGGCCTTCCCGCCCCTGAGAGTGTGGTGGACCACGTTTCAGATCGCTGGCTCTCCACCCCGGCTCACGTAAGAACCACTTGGGTGTTTCAGAAGACACTGATACTCACACCCCACCCTGATGAACCGAACCAGGATCTCGGGGTGAGGCTCAGACATGAGGCATCGGGGATTTTTAAAGGCATCTCAAGTGATTCGGGTGTGATCTGGAGGATGAAACGTGTAAAGCTATGTGGTGGCTGTTTCATGAAAATGAAATAGAAGTAACCATTCAGTTCCTCAGCTGCTGCACTAGCCACAACACACAGATCACCAGAACAGGAAGGGAACATTTGCACCGTTGAAGAACCCCTATTGGACAGTGCTGCCCAAGCCATTGGGTCCCTGCACTTAGGAGACCAAGGTTCTAGGACAAGGACTAGCACTAAGCAAACTTGGCCAGGATCTAAGTTCCCAGATGTCTCAGTCACCCCTCCTTGTGCCCATGACCCCCGCTACCACCCTGTCCTCATTATTTCCCTTTAGCTCGCTCTTCCCTTCTTATCAAATCCCCTCAGAAAAGGAACCTACTCATACTCTTTTCTTCCAAGACCCAACTTCAAAGTCGCCACTGCTAAGAAGCCCTTCTAGCCAGACACAGGCCCCTGAGGGCCACCACAGAGCCTGCCTGCCTTCCTCCTTGTATCCCAGATTCTAAGAATGCCTGGCACAGGGCAAGTGCTCAGTGAATGTGTCAAAAGATTGAAACAGTTCTGAATTCATGAGCAGGGGTGTAATCATGCAAATTCTGACGAGGTTTAATTGGTGACCTTTTCTAGGGCCTTACTGGTATCAGCTGGTGGCGTGTATATTGAAGAAGTGCTGCTCATGAGCCAAGCGGAGAAGGCATCTTCAGCAGAAGGGGTTCCCAGCTTCTGATGGAGATGGGGCTAGGTTGGAACCCTGACCGATCACTAGGCTGTGGATGGAATGGGTAGTTCAACGCCTTTAAGCAAGGATTGGCAAAAAGAACCCCCCCACACACACCAAAAACAAAAACCAAACAACAAAACAGCAACAACAAATAAACCCTGCCCCTCACCTGCCTTTCCAGAACCCCAGGATGTATCTGAAACAAAGGCCTGAGAATGTCAGCAAACCTTTCCTGGGCTTCCTGCCTGCTTGAGAAGTGTCCTATCTATAGAAAAATAGCCACTTTGGACTCAGAGCAAGAGGACTGGTAGCTGGCTTGGATCTCTTACTGCTTAGCTGTGTGAACTTGGGCAAGTATTTTACCTCTCTGAACCTCAGGTTTCTCATCTGCAGAACTGCTTTAAGAACACAAGCCAGGTACACCTGGTCTGAGGTTTAAATGGATGGACACACCTGTGGACTCCAAAGGTCTGCCCCCAAATCAAGTGTGTTCTGGTGTAGCCATGCCAGCGGGTCTCATGGTGCCCAGGCCGAACACAGTCCCCTCCGGACAGGCACTGGGGACCCAGGATGCTGCCAGGGTCTGGCTGTTCTCAGTGGCACGTGTCCGGGCTGGGAGCTTCCTGCTGGGGTAAGGATTCGGATACCTCAGCGATGTCGGGCTGGAGGGAGGGGCCAGGTGGGAGACCCGAAGGGCAAGGGGGCCCTGGGATGCTTCGGGCGGGTGCCGTTAGCAGGCAGGGTCAGGAACTCTGGTTTCGAGTATGCAAGCAGAAGGGGCAGCCAAACCCCAAACCATTATCCGGCCAGAGACAAGGAAGTGAATCAGAGGCGACCAGGAAGAAGCCTGAGGTTAACCTCGTGCAGACTGCAGGCCTGGGTAAGGAAGGGGTTGCTGGCTGTCTGAGCTTGGGATGGATGTGCGACAGCCCCTCGGACAAGGTGCAGAGGTCACTGGAATGTGGGCGGTGACGGACGAGGCAGCCCGAGGCCCAGTCCGCTGCCCGGCAGCCCAGTGGGGAGCACCCAGGCTTCCCCACCCTGGTGAAGTGCCCTCTGCCAGGGCAGCACTTTCGTCCCCTGGTTTCCCGCTCCAGTTTCTGGGAAGCGGGGAATGACCAGGCACTGCTGCCCTGGATGCTGGGATGCTGAGGGAGCCGAAAGGGCCACACCAGCCTGGAAATCCCCGAGGCAAAGAGACTGAACCACAGAGAGCCGCACCCCTGGGACGGGGGTGGGGAGCTGCAGGGGAGGGGGCTGCTGGGTCTAGGACCACAGCGGGGAGCCCGCTCTGGTGGGGCACTGCTGCCAGCAGGCACCTGGGCTGAGCTGGGGCTGTTAGGAGCCCAGGAAAGAGTTCCTACACCCTCAAAATTAAATTGAAGTCAATCTGCACTGATTATACAGTTTAAGATGCTAATGGTAATCCCCAGGGCATCCGTTAAGAAAACAATACAAAACATATAATAAAAGAAACAACAAGGGAATTAAAATGGTACGCCTGAGAAGCTTTCTTCGAAAGCCTCACTCTCCAGCTGTCAGTGAGACACCCTGGGGAGCCCCAGGCTCCCTGGGAAGGGAGAGGCGCCCGTGGCCTTGCCCCCTGCCCTCCTCACCACTCACCCCTCGAACAAAATACCAATGATCCTTAGTTTTCCGAGCTCTCTCAAATGTTTCCTCCTCACAACCCTGTGAGACAGGCTGTAGGATATCAGTTCTCTCAGTGAGGACTCTGAGGCTCAGAGAGGTTAGGTAAACAGCCCGAGGACACACAGCCAGTCAGTGTGAATGGTGGCATTAAAATGAGGTCTGTCTTATTCAAGTGCAGGGCTCCTTTCTCCATGGTTCAGCTCAGCACTGGGCCACCAAGATGCTGGCTTCTTTGTCCTTTGTTCCTTTTTCTAAAATTTAAAATAGCTTTGAAATCTTAAAAAAAAAAAAAAATCAAACATACTCATATACCAAAGTACAGAGATAGCAAAAGGAAACTCCATGTACCCATCACTCAGCTTCAACAGTTAGGGCCAAACTCGACCCATCTATTTGTATGCTATCCCCGGCCCCCTCCCGCTATTTTGAAGCAAATCCCAAATATCTCCTTTCAAATGGGAAGTTTTCAATAGGTGTCTTTAAAAGGTAAGGATTTGTTTTTTACGTGTAACCACAAATACTATGATCACTTCTGAAAAATCAATACTTCCATAATATTATCAAATATCTAAGTGTTTCAGTTTCTCTGTCTCACATATTTTTTGAGTTTGTTTGACTACGGACCCAAATATTACGCGTACATTGCAATTGGTAGACGTACCTCTTAAGCTTCTTTTCGCCTATAGACCCCTCTCCCCCTCGTCGCCCTCAAGCAGTTCATCTGCTGGGAGAAAAAGTTCATTTGTGCTGTGCAGTCTCCCAGAATCTGGATTTTTCTGATCGCAGTGTCCTTGTGTCACTGATATGTCCTCTGTTCTTATAAATGGGAAATTAAACCTGAAGACTCAATCAGATTCAGGTTCAATTTTTTTTGACAAGCTCACACCAGAGGTGCTGGCGTATATTTGGATCGGGAAGGATCTAGGACTGATGGCCTCCTCTGTCGTCATCACAATAATTTTTATCTGTAAAACTTGGAAAGAGCTTAAAAGTCTGATACCAGGGGGAAAGCTACAGAATGGTAGATCGTTGTGACCCTGGAATTCTATGCGGTCATTCACAATCATCATTTTCAAAATATATTGAGTGATAAGGGGAATGC